ATTTGTTAAGCAATTGTTTTTATTTTTTAGAGCCTCATTTTCCTTTTTTATAAAGGCATTGGCTAAGTTAATGTATATTCATTCAAACTGTCCATTTTCACACTTGTATAAGAACTGTAGAGCCAGAATATGCTTCACTGAGTCTTTGGCCTTCTATTTTAATTTTATTATTTGGCGCTGGGGATTGAACACAGGGCCTGGTACTTGCTAAGCATGTGCTCTACCAGTGAGCTTCACCCCCACCCCCAGCTATTACATTTATTTTTTTAGGGAAACATATCTATAAATGAAAATTCTCATAGCACCAGGCTAAAACCTACTCTATCTTCTTTATATCAACTTTTAAGTCAGATCATTATAGCAGTACCTTAAGTAATATCTTTCACAAATGGAATATAGTCATTCAAAAAATGATAATCTAAGATTACTTTATCATTTAGTATATTATAAATGTGGTGTTTCACTTTTTTTCGGTGGTATTGGAGTTTGAACTCAGGGCCTTGCACTCGCTAAATAGCATATCACTTGAGTCACACTCCCAGCCCTTACATGCAACATTTCAAAGCAAATATACTCATTAAATGATTGTACAGTTTAGTAGTATTTGGCAAATGCATTGATTTGCCACTTGTTTTTGTTTTATGACTATAAAAGTTCATATAACCTCTTCCACAGTGGAACATGTTATTCAGGGTAACCTGGATCTAAGTTCCTGGGCCATGGTCACTCATATTTGGCTCAGATGAACTCTGACTTCCTGTGAAGCAAGAGCTGTGTTTTGTGTTAACAGTTCCAATGGTAGTTCCATTACTTTTGAGAGCTTAGACAAATTGTATTTATCTCAGCTTCCTCATCTGTCAAATGGGGATAATATTACTCCCATTATAAAACTAAATGAATTAGGGCAGGGTGTGGTGGCTCTTACTTATAATCCCAGCTTCTTGGGAGGTGGAGATAAGTGGATAATGGTTTGAGACCAGCTTGGGCAAAAATTTAGCAAGACCCCACTTCAAATATCAAGCTGGAGGCTGGTAGAGTGGCTCAAGTAGTACAGCACCTCCCTAGCAAGTGTGAAGCCCTGAGTTCAAACCCCAGTACCACCAAAAAAAAAAAAAAAAGAATGACAAAAATCAAACTGGGCATGGTGGCACATGGTGTAATCCTGGCTATGTGGGAGGCAGAAGTAGGAAGACGATTATCCAAGGTTGGCCTGGACAAAAGTGTGACACCTTGTATGAAAAATAACTAAAGCAAAAAGGGCTGGGGATGTGACTTAAATGGTAGAGTCCTTGCCTAGAAAGCATGAGGCCCTTAGTCCAAAACCCCAGTACCACCAACAAACTGAGTTAATATAGGTAAAGTGATGAGAATAGAGTTAAATGAATGTTTTAGTAATATTTTTCTCTTTTAGGCCCTTTCTCTCACAATTCCCAGTCTTTGCATGCCTTTAATACAGTTACAGTTGTATGTGAGTAGTTCATTATAATTTAATACTATAGAAGTTTAAGTGGTAGACTATGGCCAGTGGCCAGGCAGCTATCAAGCTAAGGATGGTTTTTATATTTTTAAAGGGTTATTAAAAAAAAAAGAAAAAAAGAACATACAACATAGTCCTGCAAAGCTTAAAATATTTTCTATCTGGCCCTTTGTAGATAAAGTTTACCCACTATTGACTTAATGTTTCCCCTTTAAATACATTGTAATTTAAAATCACCACGGTTTAAATAAGGAAAATTCTTAAAGGTGGAATTTCAAAACATATCGCAAATAGGAAAGCAGATAGTTTTGAACAAGGAAGATTTTTTTTTCATCTTGTGAATATTTGCTTCCTGGCTCTCTGCTGAGATAAATTTTTCTGCTGGTGATTAAGAATAGTTTCATGATAATCAATCATGGTATTATAGAATCAAACAGTCCCAAAGGTACTCAAACTCATGAGGCTGAATGGGATGTTAAATGATTATCCTGTTTCTCGTAGCCAATTCTGTCCTGCTGGCTTTGCACTCCAATTCCATGGGAATATCAGGTCTGGAACCGGCAAATTTGCCAGGCTAAGTTCCAGTTCTTTGCTACACATTCTGTGATAATGAGTGTGGGAGTAAGAAGCAGACTCTGGAAGTCTTCTAGACTATGGTTTAGGCACATTTCAGAGCAGTAAAGTTCTAGGCCAGGCATGGTGGCCCATAGCTGTAATCCTAGCTACTTGGGAGGTGGAGTTAGGAGAATCATGATTTTAGGTCAGCTCAGGCAAAAAAGTTAGTGAGACTATCCCAAAGTTAGTGAGCTGAGTGTGTGGTTTAGACCTGTAATCCCAGATAAGCAGGACATAGAGGTAGGAGGATCATGGTCTAAGATTGGCACCAGGCAAAACGTAGAGACCCTATCTGAAAAATAAGGTAAAAAGGGCTAGGGGCATGGCTCAAGTGGTACAGAGTTTGTCAGTCAAGCATGAGGCCCTGAGTTAAAACCCTAGTACTCTCCTCCCCGCAAAAGAGAAAAATTTTAAAAATGTAAGGTTGTTAAAAATAATTGTTTTGAAAGGGGAGCTAGTTCTTTTGTTTTGTTTTAGCTCTCTGGCTTTTAAGTAACTTTAATTAGCATCGAACCACTTGTAGATTTTTTTCACTTGTTTTTATAAGAAAACAAAAACAACCCCAGATAAGAGAATAAAGAGTTGGCAGAGTCCTGGGTAGAGAGCTGATGATCCTCTGACGGCCCTCAAGTAAGGCTGTAGGAAGCTAGCACATCTATGACACTGATGAGGAGGTGGGGGATCATTTGTCTGTTGAGTCCACGAGTCTGTGGGTAGTGATATATCAAGTGGGGGTGAGGGTGAGAGGACTGGAGAGTCACTTTCTTTTTTTACCTTAATTGGGTCTGATGAGACTCAAACATGAGTGGTCAAGTAAGGATTTGTGAACTTTCCTGGAGAGAATGTCAGGAAGACACATCATGCACAGCAGAACCATCTTTAGTTATGAGAGTAGAGGCAATTCTGAATATAGCATAAATTCACTTTCTGCCCAACTCCTGAGTGTCCAAGTGCAGTTTTGGGGAGGGAGGGCTCCACAGTCTGTACCTTTCCTTTGGGGTAGTATTTTGTATTTTAAAACAAACAAACAAACAAAACAAACCAGTTATTTGGGAGGCAGAGGCTGAAGGATCGCCAGTTCCAGGCCAGCCTTGGTGAAATTAGCAAGATCCTGCCTGAAAAACCAAAAAATACAAACAAAAAGGCTGGAGGTGTGGCTCAAGTGGTAGAGTTCTTGCCTGGAAAACTCTAGGCCCTGTGTTCCATGCTCAGTACTTAAACAAACAAACAAACAAACAAAAAAAGCAGTGGGAAGACTTGCTCTGATATAGATTTGGCAAGTTTTCTTTTCCAAGTAAAGTCATCTAAAATCACAAATATCTAATATCACCATTGTTAAGGAAAGATATATAATACATGACAATACAAATTTGATCTAAAAAGAGTGGATTTATCCTTCATATAAAGCTCCAGACATAACTCCACCTCCCCTCCCCCTTTCCTCCTTGTTCCTTCACCTTTCACTACTTGCCTTTGGTCTTCTTACTATATCCCAAACCTTCCAATATTTCACCTACACTTCCTTTTTCTTAATTACATCCATTTAGTAGGGATTTGGGTCAGTTAAGGTGGTGGGGAAAAGGGGTAGGGAGGGGGGGTGTTGAGGGGAGAAATGTAGGGGAGCAGACCCTGAGAGTGAGAACTACCACAGGAACTCAGATCCAGGAGGGCAAGCACTGTCTCATTTTCCACTATATCCACAAGCCTGAAAACAAGGCCTAGAATCTACAGGTGCTTACTATGTGTTTACTGAATAAATGAATAAAATACAGGCAAAGAACATAAAAGAATATACAGGTTCTACTGTAATGTACCATAAAGAAGGTAGTAGTCAGTGCTCTTAGAAGTAATGACGTTTCAAAAATCATTGCGGAAAAGAGAAGAAAAAATTTAATTGATAGCACACCACCTTAATTCAGCTATTACCACACTTTATTGTTATTCTTTATTTTATGACGTGCATTTTCAATAAATTTGTAATCAGAAAACTTTGGATGGGAAATAATGGAACTTATTATCAGAAGCACCAATCTCTTTTACCTAAAACATGTCACTGAAAACAAGTTTAGGTGATGTCTGATGTGAAGTAACCTAGTCTATGGCCACACCACCGCGCATACCTTCTTCTGAATTGACCCTTGATAATCTGTCCTTACAACAACCTTATGATGGAAATTAAGGAAGACTGACTGGCGGAGAAGTATCACACATGCATTCTTCTGCTGGCTCCTGCCCTAAGGGTGTCCACGTTCCCTGTAAAACAAGACTGATGCTCCACAGTCTCAAAAGTCTCCTTGAAGTTTGAAGTTTAATAATTCCTACAAAAGATTTGTTTTAGATTCTGGTTGTAAGGCATTTGGCACACATAAATTCATACACTTACAAATAACAGTAAACGTTAACTCGGACTCGGGAGCTACTTCCACGCAGAAAGTGATTTTGGAAATGCACACAAACCATTTCTAATCTTTCAGTATTATTTTTTACCTGGAGAAACTGCAGTAAGTAGTTTTACTTACTGCAGTAAGTGAACTGATTATTTTAATTCCTCAAATATAAAACAGAAAATTAGTTCGATATAAAGTGACAACAAATCTAGGGAATAATCTAAGGGGAAGAGTGAGGTTCATTGGCACAAAACGCGGCACCACAGCGGCGATGGAGAAGCCGGTCCTGCCTCGAGCTCCAACACCGCCCGCAAATCCCAGCATTCACTGCGGTCTCGTGCCGCCCTCTGCTGGGCTCCGCGCGCGGACTGGTAAGCACGGAGGCACTGCCGCCTCGAGGCGCAGGGCCGATGACGTTACCTCTGCGCCCTGCCGGAGGGCGGAAGTTACTTTCGTCACTTCCGCTTAGAGACTAGGGGCGGAAGTAAAAGCAGTCTACCACATGTGTAGGTATAGTGTACCGGGTGGAGATGAGGTTGGGGGTTTGCTGCGGCTCTGCTGTTTTTTGTTTTTTTTCTTTAAAGAGAGTTTACACCGGGCGTGGTGGTTCACGGCTGTAATTCTACCACTTGGGACACGGAGGCGAGATTGTGAGTTCGAGGTCAGCCTGGGCTACATAGCGCATTTAAAAAAAAAATCAAACAAGCAGGTCTGCACAGCTCTGCTGCACAGTGCAGCCCGTTGTAGCGTTGCCTGTGGAGAAAGAAGAGGGACAGAACGAGCCTATCTTTTTATTCTCTATTATGAATTCCTGACGTTTACCCTCCCCCTCTCCTTTGGTAGGGGAATGGTATTTCTAGAAACAGCTGTTTTTCACCTTTTCTGAAGGGATGCATAGCCCTCTTTAAGAAATGCATTGCTGTAAAGATTTCCATACTTAACTTTCTGTGTCAAAAGACAAGCTGGAGTGTGGTACCTTAGGGTCAATGGTGAGCCATTTCCTTTAAAAGCCCTTGCCAGTCCAATTGTGGAGCATAGGGGAAAATAAATCCTCTCATTCCTTAGACCTCACAATTTACAGAGATTTACAGTGTGTTTGTGAAATATCTTAAGTCAATAGCTTAGGTTAATTTAAGAAAATTAGTTTGATCCTTATCTCAACTAGCAAAAACCCTTGGTCCTTCCTGTTATTGCTTATACTCTCTCTTCAACAAAATAAGAGATGAGGGCAAAATAGTTTCTGCCTGGTAGCGAGGGAGTAGGAGGGGAGAGAGAGGGGACGGAGGGAAGGGGGGAAAATGACCCAAACGTTGTGTGCACATATGAATAAAAGAAATTAAAAAAAGTTTGAGAGGTAGATTAAGTTAATTATGTAGTGTTTGTAGGTTGAAGAAGTTGAAGTGATTCTTGCGTTAGCTGTTTATTCACTTTGTGAGAAGTTATAGGAGTATTTTGAATGGAAATCAGCTGTTAAAACATTTGTGATATTTTTGAAATTTGACTTTTCTGCTAGGAACTGAAAAAAAAAAGCAAAATATTTTCCATTGCTTACTGCACACGTAGACCAATTTAATTTGTTCACATTTTTGTTTGATTGCAAAATAACATTAAATAAAAATATTTCAAAAATAGTACAGAGCCTCCATTAATCTTTCAGAAATAAGTATTATTTCACCTTCCCTCCTCTCTATATATCCCACTTTAAAAATATATGTGCTTTTATCCTACTCATAAACTGCATTAATGCAGTTTGCCACTTAAGAGTATTTTGAAGATTTTAAAATTGCATTAGATATGCCTTAGTTTTTTAAAATGTCTGCATAGGTTTTTCACAGTTTGTGGCGGCCACTTGGGGTTCTTTTTTGTTATAGCAAGTAATGTTATGATAGTCATACTTTATCAAAATAAATGTATCTTTGTCCTTATATTTCCTTTGGGTAATCTCCAAGAAGTAGAAAAGCTAGGTTAAAGGATGTGAAGACTTAAAATTCTGATAGATGGTGCCAGATTTCCTTCCAATAATAGTATTTGAGAGTTTCCTGTTCCCTCATATGCTCACTGTCAATATTGTTAGCTCCTGTTGATTTTAGGTTTAGCTAGGATGACATACCATTTTTGGGGTCAATCTTTAAGTATTATACTCAAGATTAAATTTCATTTGCCATTTTTAGCTTTTTTTCTTGTATAAACAGTATACTTAGTTTTAGATTCCTTGCTAGTAAATTATTGTAAAACAAATGATTCACTTCAGCAGCAAGCATTTTAGGACATTTGAAGGACAATTGCACTTGTATTATACCTTGTACTATAGACAGGCATCAAGAAGATGGGTCTTTCTGAAAGAAAGGAGAGCTTAAACAAAGGCAGTGGGACTAGAGTGTGCAGAGATGTTCAGGACCAGAAGATTATTATTTATTTATAATTTTGAGACTGTGTCTTTCTACTTAGCCTAGGCTAGCTTTGAGTTTGTGATCCTCCAGCCTCTCTCTCTGAAGTGCTGGTATTACAGAGGTGCACCATTCTACCTGGCTGAGGACCAGAGGTTTGAGAGGCCAGGTAGTGATGTGGTTAATGGAAAAGAATAGAAGAGCTAACTGGAAAAGTAGTTACAACTACATAGTATATGAATGTCAGTCTGAAAATTTTTCTTTCTGGGAGAGAGCTACAGAAGGTCTTTAATCAGAGAATGAAGGATATAATCACGTTTGTTGTGCAAGTATCGAGTATGAGTATGGTGGCAGTTTTGAGTGACGTATTAAGAGAAGCAAGTTAGGCAGTTGGGTCAGGCTGGTAAGGGAATGTGAATACTTCAATTGCATTAGAGTAATAGAGGGGAGAGACTGGATTCCAGAGATGCTGAAGAATCTGAATCTGTTTTGGTGACTGCAGGTTAAAGTAGAACATTGATATTTTTGAAATTTAATTTTTCTGCTAAAAGCTGAGGAAGAAAGGAAAACTCACTTAGATTTTGATAAGTGACTCTTAGGACAGTCATATGATGCTAATCAGAGGAGGGCTAGTTTGGGGGGATAGAGAAAGATGCTCAGTTAGGTTTGGGGGCACATTAATTCATGTGGGCCATATTTGTGTGAAGTGTAAGTTAGACATAAAATCTACGTGTGACAGATGCAGGAGAAACCTTTGTTAATCTTGGTATATCTTTTCACTTATTTTTGGTTTGCCATTTGTAGAATTTCTGTTGAATGTTTTGTAGCTTGTTTAGCCCTGCGCTAATAATCTCAAGAGAGTACATTGTATAGAGTAGTAATCTTCAAATTTTTTTGATTGCACATACCATCATTAAAAATGTTCATGAATATATATCCTATATATAGTGATTGATTATATACATGTCTTATAATACATTGTGCGTATGTTATAAAACGTGTAAAAAGTGGAAATGTTCAAAGATTAAGACAAGTATAAATTGAGATTTGTACTATTTTTTTCCTCCTACATCCTATTAGATCATCTTGCACCCCTCTTATAAAGGCCTGGTCTAATCTACAGCTGATGTTCTGCCCATTGTCCAGTAGAGGTCACCCTTGAGCATCTGGAAGAGACTGGCTGTTGAGCTGTGCAAGGTACAGTGTTTTGTTATTTTTAAGTTTCTAAATTCATGTATGTTTGGAAGAGTATGTAGTTACAGAGTAGTATGTGGTGTAAAGAAGTGAAGAATAGTAAACTGAGTAGAGTGTGGATCAATCTAAAATGTGGTTTTGCTTTAGTTGTTTGCTTTCTGAGTGCCTTGCATTTGAATTTGAAGGCTACTTGATTCTGCACTTTTAGAATCTTTCCCCAGTTCCTTGAGAATCTGTAGACTATATGAGGCAAATGCATACTATGTAACCCAAATGTTACTGGTGGATTGGAACCATCTATCTCTGTTTTCTATTTTATGTTTAATTAGGAGACAGAGAAAAGGGACATGCCTATTCTAAGTAAGAACCCATTGTAAGTAATTAGAAATTAAGAATTGAAGTTTTCACAGCTATATATTCTGAAAAAGAGTACAATTAAAAATATGTTTTGTCCCTATGCCTGTATTAACTCAAAATGGATCAAGGACCTTAATATCAGACCCTAAACTCTAAAGTTGGTACAGGAAAGAGTAGGAAATGCTTTGAAACTAATAGGTATAGGCAAGAACTTTCTCAATGGAACCCCAGCAGCTCAGCAACTAAGACATAGCATAGATAAATGGGACTTCATAGAACTTAAAAGCTTTTGCTCAACAAAAGAAATGGTCTCTAAACTGAAGAGACCACCCACAAAGTAGGAGAAAATATTTGCCAGCTACACATCAGACAAAGGATTGATAACCAGAATATATAGGGAACTCAACAAACTAAACTCGCCCAAAATTAATGAACCAATAAAGAAATGGGCAAGTGAACTAAACTGAACTTTCTCAAAAGAAGAAATTCAGATGGCTAAAAAACACATGAAAAAATGCTCACTATCTCTAGCCATAAAGAAAATGCAAATTAAAATCACACTAAGATTCCACATCACCCCTGTTAGAATAGCCATTATTAGAAGCACCACCACTAACAGGTGTTGGCAAGGATGTGGAGAAAAAGGAACTCTTATACACTGCTGGTGGGAATGCAAACTAGTACAACCACTCTGGAAAAAAATTTGGAGGCTTCTTAAAAATCTAAACATAGATCTGCCATATGATCCAGCAATACCACTCTTGGGATATACCCAAAGGAATGCGACACAGGTCACTGCAAAGGCACTTACACACCCATGTTTATTGCAGCACTATTCACAATAGCCAAGTTATGGAAACAGCCAAGATGCCCCAGCACAGACGAATGGATTAAGAAAATGTGGTATCTATACACAATGGAATTCTATGCAGCCATGAAGAACGAAATGTTATCATTCGCTGGTAAATGGATGAACTGGAGAACATCATTCTGAGTGAGGTTAGCCTGGCCCAAAAGACCAAAAATCGTATGTTCTCCCTCAAATGTGGACATTAGATCAAGGGCAAACACAACAAGGGGATTGGACTATGAGCACATGATAAAAGCGAGAGCACACAAGGGAGGGGTGAGGATAGGTAAGACACCTAAAAAACTAGCTAGCATTTGTTGCCCTTAATGCAGAGAAACTAAAGCAGATACCTTAAAGCAACTGAGGCCAATAGGAAAAGGGACCAGGAACTAGAGAAAAGGTTAGATCAAAAAGAATTAACCTAGAAGGTAACACCCACACACAGGAAATCAATGTGAGTCAATGCCCTGTATAGCTATCCTTATCTCAACCAGCAAAACCCCTTGTTCCTTCCTATTATTGGTTATACTCTCTCTACAACAAAATTAGAGATAAGGGCAAAATAGTTTCTGCTGGGTATTGAGGGGGGGGAGCGGGAGGGGGTGGGGGCAGGGGGGAGAAATGAACCAAGCCTTGTATGCACATATGAATAATAAAAGAAAAATGAAAAAAAAAAAAAAAGCACAATGCGTGTACAGACATAATACCAAGGCAAAAATCCCACTGAACAACAAACACACCTAACAACGAAGGACAAGAATGAAAAACAGGTCACACTAATGGGGGGGCACTAAAAAAAAAAAAATATATGTTTTGTATGATTCCAATCACAAGTAGCTTAGTTGAATAACTGAAGAACTGTTTTTTTATTGCTTTCCTCATAAAATATTTCCTATAAGTGGAGATGCTCATTTTAGTAGGGACATATGATTATAATCATACATCTTTTATCCCATTTCTAAATGATCTGTTTAGAGTTATTGATAACTCTTCAAATGAGTTATTGAAGTTTGCTAGAAACTGGAATTTTTAAGTGTCATGCAATAGGTGCAGACAGCCTTGGATTAGTTTTGTGTACTATGGTGATGGGGTAGAAAAGACTGGCAGAAGTATCAGGTTAATGTTGATGTAAAGCTAGGCATGGTGACATGTGGCTGTAGTTCCATCTACTTGGGATACTGAGATAGGAGGACCATTTGAGGCAGAAGTTCGAGGCCAGCCTGAGCAACATAGTGTGATCCTGTTAGGGACTATGGGGATTAAATGTCCCAATATAACTTTTCTATGTTTTCCTTTCTCCCTCTGGCTGTCCCTCCCCCGCTGCCTCCCTTCCTCCTTTGTGTTGGGGATTGAACCCAGGGCCTCATGCATGCTAAACATGTGCTCTACAGCTGTGTAATACCCTAGCCCCTCCAACTATATTATTTTGAAGATGAAATTCATTTAGAATTGTTGCATTACAGTCAAGGGGATGATAGGGAAAACAGTGAGAGGGAGATTGGAATTGGGAGGTGTTAGGCAGAGGTCTAGGTAAGCTAAGAATTAAGGCTATAATGCTAGCGTGGATTTAAAGTGTACCACAAATCCAGTAAACTATATTTAAGATGGAAATTTGATAGTCTGAGGTGTTGTTTTTCAAGGCTAGATTTAGAGGTTGAGAACCAGGAGGCCAAAAGCAAAGAAGTCTAGTACCTGTGGGCAAACATCTTGGAAGCTGGAAGACAAGGCAGTAGTGAACCTGTCATTTATTAGGAAGAAGCCTTGACTTGGAAACCAGGAGGACAAAGAGAGATGGAGAGGAACAACTGATTTTAGTTAGTCAAGGCAGACAAGGAAATAAAAAGTGCAGGATAAAAACAGGAAAAGTTCTGGGGCAGTGATGGTACCATCCTACTTTTCTTTATGTTAAAAGTAGCAGTAGTCCTGGGTCCACAGATGGCTAACATAAGCAATGAGGTCGGGATTGAGACTGGCATCTGTATTGTTAACATTGCTCCAAGAAAGCTGATATGCAGTTATTATAGAAAGGATTGTAATGTTTATAGGATTATAATACTGTCATTTAGTCATTTAACATAGGTATTTGTATAATATATGTGTTATTTTACACAGCACTCAAAAAGATTTGGCTACAGAACCATTATGGCATCAAGAAACCTCTGGAATATGAGAAGTAACTTTCTTTTTGGTTCAAGATGTTGTATAATCCAACATTCAGCAGAAATCCTCCTCAAATTGGTTTCATTTAGGCCTTTTGGTGCAAAATGTATTAATGCAGACAACAAAGCTTTGGAAAATGAGGACCTACTGAACAACTTACTTACTATGGGAGTTGATATTGACAGGGCAAAGAAACGACAGCCTGGCGTTTTTAATAGGATGGTTACTAATGAGCAGGAACTGCAGGTGTTCCTTCTATCAAAAGGAGCTAGCAAAGAAGTGATTGCTAGCATCATATCAAGATATCCACGAGCCATAACACGTACTTCTGAAAGTCTTTCAAAACGGTGGGATCTATGGAGAAAGATTATAACATCAGACCTTGAAATTGTAAATATTTTGGAACGCTCTCCTGAATCCTTTTTTCGGTCCAATAACAACCAAAACTTAGAGAATAATATAAAGTTCCTACACTCAGTTGGATTGACCCATAAGTGCCTTTGTCGACTGTTGACTAATGCTCCTCGGACCTTCTCCAATAGTCTTGATTTGAATAAACAGATGGTTGAATTATTGCGGGAAATCTGTGTGTCCTTGGGTCACAGTGATCCTACAGATTTTATCAGGAAGATAATTTATAAAAACCCTTTTATCTTAATCCAGAGTACCAAGCGGGTGAAAACTAACATTGAATTTTTACAGTCCACTTTCAACTTGAACAATGGAAAGCTGCTCCTTCTGATATGTGGTCCAGGAGCTGGAATCTTAGACCTTTCCAATGACTATGTCAAAAGAAACTACACAAATATAAAAGAGAAGCTGTTTTCTCTTGGATGTACTGACAAAGAAGTACAGACATTTGTTTTAAGCTATCCAGATGTGATCTTCTTGGCAGAGAAAAAGTTTAATGATAAAATAGACTGTCTCATAGAGGGAAAAATTAGTATTTCACAAATAATTAAAAATGCTCGGATTCTGGATTCAAGCATAAGTACTTTGAAAAGTCGAATTAAAGAATTGGTACATGCTGGTTATAATCTGAGTACATTGAACATAAATCTTCTATCTTGGAGTCAAAAAAGATACAAAGCTAAATTGAAAAAATTAAATGTATAGGACAGTGAGAGAAGAGTTAAAGTCTTATAATGTGATATCATTTAATTTTGAAATTGGTTAAAATTTTTTAACCACAGATACATTTATAATGATCCTTTGGATATTTTGTTTTATAGGTTCATAAAAACTCACAGCTGGTATGCTCAAAAATAGTTACATTTCTGTGGATTTTGCAGATGTGATTAAGAAAATATGAATCCCAGCATTTAGGAGGCTGAGGCAGGAGAATTGTGAGTTAGAGGCCTGCCTCAGCTACATCTGAAGACCCTGTTTCAAAAAAAAAGCTTAAGTTAATGGTCTTGAGATGGGGAGGTTATCCTAAATAATTTGGGTGAGCCAAACATCATCATAGGGTCTTAAAAGTGGAAGAGGGAGGCAAAAGAAGAGGTCAGAGGGATGAAATGAAAGGAAGACTTGACCACTTTGAAGGAGAATGGGGCCTTGAGACAAGGAGTGCAGGTAGACTATAAAAAATGGAAAAGGCAAGGAAGCAGATTCTACCGTAGGGCCCACAAAAGAGAATGCATCCCTGCTGGCACCTTGAGGTTAGTGCAGTGAGACCAGTACTCAGCTTCTGACCTATAAAACCTTAAGAATAAATTGATGTTGCTTTAAACCACAGAGTTTGTGATAACTTGTTATAGCAGCAAATAGATTAATATAGCAGCTGAATAGATGATTAGTTGCATTGTAGGTGAAGTCACAAAGTATTATCATTTCTGTATTTTTCCTCTTATAAGAGTAATTACATTTTTAAAAAGTCTACGTACTTTTCTGGAATTGTTAATAAGTTAGTGTTTATAAAGCACTCTAAAGGCTTGGATAAAATATGAAAGGTAAGTAGTAAAGCCTAAATAAAGGAATATTTTTGCTTAATGAATGTAGTTTAAAGAAATGGTAGTCATTTCTGTACCTTTATATTTTGCTGGCATTTATCTAATGTAAATAAAAAGTAAGGAATTTCTAGAGGCATTGACTTAAAACAATGGCATATTAGGTCATGTCTACATCTTGAACATATTCACAATCTAGCTTTGGTAGAAACTGAAAGAGAAGGAACTAGTTATATGACCTTAATTACTTTAAATTGTTTCCAGAGGCATGTATTTTCTAGGTGTGGATGTTGAATTAAATCACATAACCTTTTAAACTTTATTTGCTATCATTGATCTTTCTAAAAAACTAATTTGTACCATTGATTGAAACAAAATGCCTGCTTTTCTAAGGCCATTTATTATGTTCAATGATACTCTCATAATTATCTCCAGTTAACTGTTTGGTGACAAGCATGTCATAGTTTAGAAAGTATGGTTTTTGTACAGATCTTTCTTTAGAGGGATATACAAGTACCATTTCAGATTAACTATGTAAGTTTTGTAAATGTTTTAAATTCACTGAACTTGTTTTCTCACATACAAGATTAAAATTTGACCTTGCAGTGTTGGTAAGAATCATATTATATAGGGTCTATAAGGTTTCTTACACATAGCAACTAGTCAACCAATGATAGGTATAAGAAAAATTATGTAGTATATTTAAAAATAGATTTATTGATATCAAATTCACATATCACACAATTCACCTTTAAAATATATAATTCAGTTTTTTATATTTTTAAGGTATGTAACTTTTGCCACAATCTAATTTTAGAATATGTGCCCCCTAAAAGAAACCCTGCACCCATTAGCAGCAAATCCCTATTATTTCCCTCTTATCCCTGTAGCTCTAGGCAAAAACTAATCTTTCCATCTTTATCAATTTGCTTATTCTAGACATTTCATATGAATTAAATCATAGGATATGTGATTTTGTGACTGACCTCTTTCACTTAGCATATGTTTTCAAGGTTCTTCCATGTAGCACATATCATCATTCCTTTTTATTGTCAAACAATATGCTATTGTATGGATACAGTTATTATTGAGAATATATTTTATTGTTATGGCTTGAAACACAGGTATTAGTTCCTTAAATTTTCTGAATCATGTAAGAGCATTTTCTAAGGCCTTGCTTTGGTCTGGTTATTTTGAAGATGGCGTCTCTCAAACTTTTTGCCTAGGCTGGCCCGTAACCATGATCCTCCTGATCTCAGCCTCCTATAGTTAGGATTACAGGTGAGAGCCTCTGGTGCCTGGCTCTGAATTATAAAAGTTTTAAGTAATTTTTTTTTGTTGAAGTGAAATGAAAATTATATTTTTAATGGGTGGAAAAGGAAAAATAAATAACAAAATGAAGAAAAATTTGATAATCTTCCAGAGAAACCATTTTGGTGACTATTCCTGTTGTGTTTTGTAGAATATATCCATATGTGGATTTAATCTGAGTAAGTGTGACATACATTTGTTGAGGTTGGACTATGTATTTTATAAATTGCTTTCCTTAACCTAATAGATCCTGAATATATTAAGCATTCTTTAGTATTTAATTACAGAATCATTTAACAACTCACTTGTTACATGGTTTTTAATGGTTGCATGAAATTCTACAGTTGGGATAAACTAATTTCTCTAGTTAGTCTCACCATTGAGCAGAGTAAGTCAATTTTAGTAATATTTTGAACATCTCATCTGCATTATTTAGTATTCCATAGTGTTAAACCTACTACTGTATTTCACTCAGTATACTTTATAAATTAAAAGTTTACTCCAGAAAAACATAAGTGGTAAGAATATTGTATTTTGCTGTTCTCTAAATGTTACATGGATCTGCAAGACTTCATGTTTTAAAAATGGAGACCATTTGGCATTCCAAGTTGTTGGTATATATTTGAGAACTTTTAAATAACTGCAAGATTGGGATAATACCAAAGATTAAAGAGAAAAAAAGTTATCAGGTAGGAATAAAAAATGAGTAAATGTATAAAAGGGCTTTCTGAGTTACTAAACAAGTCATTTTGCTCTTTAAATAATATAACTTCTAATGCTGGAGTAGGCACATGGTCTGTGGTTAATGATTCAGCAATATAGCTTTTATGTAAAATATCCATCCATTGACTCCTTCCTTGTTAGTCTGTAAGTTCTTACACTTTATGCCCAGATCTAGTGGAGATATAGGTGAGAATCTCTTGGTGGCAGAATCCTAGTCACAAACTTCAATGATGGTCCTTTGTTTCAAAGTCTAGGAAAAGCTTGGCATTGTGTAGGATATCAGGACTGTGTTATTAGATGGGGAGAGATCATTACAGAAGACCAACTGCCCAACCTTGAGAAGAAGGAGATGAATTGTATGTATCACAATTATCCAGGAATCATTTCTTGAGGGACAAGGTCCTGGGTCAATTTGGCTACCAGATGAATTAGGATACAGATGTTCTAAACTGGCCAGCATTCTTCTGTACTAAGACTGTTTACAGTTACTCCTCAGTTTATATCCTATTGCCTCAGGAACCTGGTATAGGATTAAGCTGTGATGGGATCCATTTTGAGGAGTTGGGTACTGTAATGTCATAGACAGGTAAACGTCATTTGTACATGACGTTTGTATTTTCTTGCTCATTTTCATATTTCTGTTACTCCCCCAAATGATACTCTACTTCTGTTCTTTTCAAGATGGCTGACCCTTTTGCTTTCACACTTTTTTCCTTTTTTAATTCACAGAGATTAGTTAAATAAAAAGAAAAAAACCAAAATGCCTATAGATTTTTTTGGTTATGATTTAAAACATTCTTGGCTGGGATTTTAAGCCTTTTGATTAATTTCTGAGTGGAGTTTGTACAGAGGTAGACGACACACTCAGGTAACTCACTCACTGTCACTATTAATCAGATCATATTTGGAATTTGTTTTTCCCTAATAGCAATATTGTGTAAAATTAATGAGTTTTTTTACATGAATTACTTTGTGTTAATTATAAAAATTTAGTATGATGTTATGACAGTTCTGTCTCCATTTTGAATATCCAGTGCCCCCTTCACCACCTGTGAAGATACCTTCATTTTTTGCCCACCATGATTGTAAGTCTTTTTTTGAAATTTTACAATGGAAAGGAATTTACTCTCTGATAATCAAATCATTGTAAAAACACTTGAACAATACAAAGAAACAAAATCTCAGCTAATCTATTTATATGAAGTTGAAGAAACATCCTTTATTCTTAGTTCACAGAGGTTTGTTTATTTAAACCAGGGATGAATGGATGACTGATGATTTTTGAGAAAATCCTTTTAAAAATCATCTTTTGAAATCTTTTAATGAATGACATCAATGGATTTATTTTTCATGTCATCCTTTGTTTTGCTGAAATGAAATCTATGCTGTATTTACATTACTGATATTTTACTTAGGACTTTCTCTTAGGGTTCATAAAGGGGATGGGTCTACACAGCCTCCTCCTTTAATTATGAAAGGTTTTTTTGGGTAGGTTCTTTGTATTTTAGGAAATAGAGAGGTTGCCATTTTGTCAAGTAAATTTGGGAGGTTACTATTTCTCCCCTGTGCTTTGGGTCTATTTGAAAACTGGAAGTTATCCAGTTCTTTAAAGTTTGGCTGCACTTGTCTGTCAAATTGTTTGGGCCTGGTATCTTGTTCAGGATAGTTCCTTGACAACAATGGAGAGTTGTTAAGGCTTACATAGAGCTTTTGACTTGCACGTTTTTGGTAAATACTAGTATAAAGCGCTCTCCTAGTTAATGCATTTTGATACATGCAGCAACATAGGTGAGTCTCAAAATACGTGGAATGAAAGAAGACAAAGTATAATCTGTATAGAAAATGCTCACTAAAGTGTTACTGGATGGGGAAGGAATACACAGGAGCACAGGAGTCTTACCACCTTGATTATGATGGTTTTGTGAATGTATATGTGTGTAAAAATGGATCAAATTATATGTTTTAAATGTGTATAGTGTAGTATAGTTCAGTTATACCTCAGTAAAGTTGAACAATTCATCCATTCAACATTGATTTAAAATATCATCATTATTTAATAGTAAATTCTCCATGTTTGTTTGTGTCTGTCTCTAGATCTTCCACTCTCTTAAACCAATCTATTTATATTTCTAT